GTCTCACGCTTGGGAATGATGATGTTGGCTCCTATGCATAGTCCGGTCAGGATGAGTGCCCACGCCTGACTCTGCCGTCGTCCAACTCGATTCACCACCACGTACATGATCATCTTGGCTGGAATCTCAATGACGCCGAAGACAAACTGGGAGAGATACATGTTCAGCCCAAAGCCAGTTAGGTTCATGCTCATGCCGTAATAAGAGAAGGCAACACCGAACCTGCAAGGAGTGTGCGGAGATGGGAATTAGGGAAATCTATCTGGGGAATTGCAAGACAAGTCCCCTGTGTGAAGTGACACTGCTTACCACACAGCCCCAGAACACAGAGAGATCTTCCGCAGGACTGGTGTCCTGAACAAGCTGATGTAGGAGTAATTCCCTCCTGGCTTTTTGTCTGTTGCCATCCTTCTGAGGGCCTGGGAGAGGTGGAAAGGAGGAAATAGCTCAGCTGCTGTACTTTTAGGATCCAGACATGAAACCCTAGACAGGCTGGGGCCTTTGCCTTTCCCAGCTCCAGCTCCACCTTGGATTTTCCATATGTTCCCATTGCAGAACAATTCTCTGAGCATACGTTGTAGAACTTTACAGATTGCCTACCATTTTAGACCTCTTTTTCTTCCCATGGCCCCTTCTTCCCTCTTACCTACATACTGCGTGTGGCAGAAAGGGTTGCAGAAAAGTGGCAGATCATGGTGTTAGCAACGTCAGAGTTGGCTGGTTCCACCCTCTTCTCCATGTGGTTGCCTGCCATTGTGTCAGGTCTCAGACAGGAGCTAACCCTGAGCTGCGTGCTTTATTCTCATGAGTGCATTTATATAAAGTGTGATTATTTGTACATCTGTTCATATAAATACAGAATATATAAAAAAGGCACTGAGAAGTGAGCCCTGCCCATAAGGAAGAAGAGAGCGCTTATTCACAAAGTCTTTTAGCAGTTGATTGAGGGGTAAGTACCAGGAGAGTTGGTAAGTTCTACTCACTGGCTGAGGTGCAAGAGATTCGCACAACTACAGGTCTGCAATGCAGCTATACCTAAGCTAGTTGCCATAGGCTCACTGTGTAGGTAATGGAGATCTCCAGTGGAAGCGATGGAGTCATTTTATCCTAGAGCAAACAACTGCATTTGGTCAGAAGAGTCGTGTGCTAGCCTCCATCAGCTATTCATTAGATTGCAGACTGTAAAGGAAACTGCAGACAGCGATGATGTGGACACCTAATGCTGGGAGAGGTTAATTCCTCTCATGACAGTCTTGCTTCACCGTGTCCAAAAATCATCAGCAAATGCAGGGTAGGACAGTTAAAATTGATTAGGTTATGAATCACAGGAAACCTTGAGGAGAGAGTCTGGTTAACTAGTTAGATATATTCTCGAATCAATATCCTCTTCAGTGAAAGCAAACCTGTGGCTAAAGTTTTTGCTTATGCAACCACAGAGCTGCATAGGGAACCTACAACTCAGATGGATGAAGAGGGCCTGCAGCATCTTGGACCAGAGGATCATCTTCTCCAGTGCCTTGTCTCCAACAGCATCCTGCAGTGGAGCCTGCAGAAGAGCTGGGCAAGCATGTAGAGATATTCCCCTCAAAATGTCTCTGCCTTCAGCCATTCAGGGACTTTCTGAACCAGACAGGCTGTCTGTCTGTTTAGCACCTCAACAATCCTATCCCACATTATATAGTGGTTTGTTGAACCCGTGTTTTTCTTTTATTTCTGTACACCCATCTCTGGGTCTGGTAACTTTTGTTAATACTGCAGTATGGCAAGTAAGTTATTTTTTTAAACTTTCAACTTTTTTTTTTTTTTACAAACAACTAATAAGTCTTTTCATCCAAATGCATAGGATGAATCATAGCACTGACAACAGACTACTTCTGCAATCCTGAGAATTCTAATATGAGATTCAAGTTACCCTGATGGCAGTCTGTCCTCTCTTCAAGTTGCATGATTTGCTATTAAAATGGGTAACATAAGACATTAACACAGAAAACATCTTCCAGTATGTATCGTTAGACAGATTTCTTGGCCTGTGGAAGGACAACTGGGAGAGCCAGAACAGCAAGAACCCCAAGAAACTTTAAGTTTAAAATGCACATAATTCAGTGATAGCTGCAGAGGGAGCAGGGTGAGAGAATCTGCAGGCCCACAGCATCACCTACAATTAAGATGGTGCTGAACAGTTATGGGGGCTGTGGACTTGTGGAAATATCTAATAAAAGAGAAATCCCAGCCCAAAGAGCTCTCTGGTTAAAATAATTGTACAAAATGAAAGGAAGCATTAGGAGAGGGAAGAGGATAGCTGTAAGTAATAGCATGTTTCACTACAGAAGAGTTAAGATTTTATTTCTAATTGCATACTATTGTTTACAGTTTTGGGGTGAGTGACAAAGCTTTTCATACTGAAAAAAGAATTTCACACTGGGAAATTCCTTAATCAGTTCTATAAGACAATGCTATTAAACCTGAGAGTACGTCAGTAATGTGCTGTGCAATTATCCAGAGATTATAGGTCTTTCAAGTTCAGTCTTCTGAACTAAGGAAAATCAGTTGTTACCTTAATAAGTCATCAAAACACACTGATGCATGGTCAAGTCAATTAAGCAAACTAGAATCAGGCAGTTCTGTGTTGCCTGCATGTTTGGATAGGAACAAGAAAAAACAAGTATGTCCCTATAAACCTCATGCATCCAGCAAGGTGTCACAGCTGCAAGCCTTTATTGATCGTGGTCCAGTGGTCCCAGTATGGTGTGACTTGGTGCAAGGCTGTGATAGTGGGGAAGCCCCAGCTACATTTCCTAACCCTAAGAATGGTATGAGGGTGCAAGCCCATGCCCTTCAGGGTGAAACACTGCACTCTGAAATACAGAGTCATCAGCCAAGGCTGAATGAAAGAGGTTATAACTTGTTATTTTTACATATTTAGTCAGAGCTACTGGGTTGATTAAAGGCAAGGAAGCATCACAGTCAACTCCTGTCTGCCACAACCAGTAAATTCATAATTTCTCACATGATTAAACAACATGTTTCTGTTGTAAATCAGAAAGGCTAATCACTTCTTCAACAGATACTAAGAAACTGCTTTTAAAAAATGGCATGCTGGCCAGGATAAGACAACGGTGGGGCTGCAGGAGCACTGGGTGCACACAGAGATGCAGCTGGACCATGACAGCAAAGCACAAGGCTTCTGTGCTGGTGCCAGGGGTTTTCTATCTTCCTCTTTTGGTAAGAGGAAACCCAATGGACATTAAAGGAAGAATTGATGTTTAATGAACCACAAACTTCTGTAACCACTGGATTTCACAGCTGAGCTTTGTGCTTTTGAGAAGGTTGAGGCAAATGATGTGGACCAAATTAGTCAGAGGTGACAGACTTGCAGCCATCCAAGCCTGGCTGTGAAGGGTTGTTGTGAGCACTGACTATGCTCTGGTGTCTTCCCGAAGGGAGAGACAAGCTTCTGCCTGGCCCTTGAGTCCTCGCTAGAGCTGGGACATCGCTTGAGCTTGTCACCATCTCCTGGAGCCACCAGTGTGTCCTTAAGTAAGCGTCACAGACCAGGTCTCAATATTTGTGAGTCTGAGTGCAAAAATACATTTTTTAAGATAGAACTCAGCACAGGATGAAGATCACTAGATCAGCCTCTGAGCTGAGCTTGAGCTTTGGAGTTGAAAATAGGTGGCTATTTTTTAGGGTCCCCCTTCCCCTTTATTTGTTCAGTCAGCTAGCTGAGCATCTTTGCTCCATCCTTTACACAACTGGGGTCAAGCAAAAATGGATTCAAACCAGTGGGTACATGCCTACTTTGCCCAGTGCCTCACCTTGCCACATTCCTTTGAAACTCCTGGCAGAGCCATGACTGGCTTGAGGGCAGAGCTTTAGCCAGGGGAAAAGGTTGATCATGCCAAATGTTCTTTACACCCACATTCACTACCGGGGCACTATGGCTGACAATCTTCCAGTTTCACATGTGCACTAAATGCAGCCTGGGGTGGACTAGCCTTTACAATTTTGGATAACACTACATGCAGTATCTCAAGTGCACTATGAGAGAAAATATGCTAACTACATGCTATTAATGTGTGTCTGCTTTCTGCTAGCACTGTACCAGCACTTGGCAAAGACTATGGCAACCAAGAAGGCAAACACTAAGCTGCACAAATTGCTCAAGCACCTGCACACTCTCCTCTCTGTTATGGGAGTGATGCCTCTGCCTTATTTTTTCAGGCTGTGCTTCTCTCTCACTGCGTATTTAGTCCAGTGTCCTGTGCATTGAAGTCATGTCAATAATGAATGGAAAGACACTGCACCTAATGAAGGGGATTTATGGTCTTATGCTGCTTTATCTGTAGGAGTAGATGTAGCTGCTTTCTAGAGTAAAATGGAGCATGGCACCCTGTGGACCACAGTGACCCACAGATGGCACTGCAGGCTGAGCATTGCTTCAAGTATCAAATAGAAGTGAAATAGAGAGAGAGAGAAAATGGCAGAGGAAGAACATGCGCCTGGATCTTCAGTTTCTCACCTCTGGTGAGACAGTGAAGTCTTTCCTTCCGTTCATTCTTGCACATCTAAGCAGATGCCTGTGAGCTTGTTTCACTTTGCCATTGGCTATAAGCCACCGGGCAGACTCTGGGACCCACCTGGTGTGAGGAGAAAAGACAGTGTTCCTGTTGGCGCTCCATGTTTTCCACCCCACATACGTGGCCCTGGCCAAAGAGAGGGGGTCTTATCTATGAGACTTCAACCTCAGCTAAAAATAGTAATTGTGGTGCATGAGAATATGAGTAATGGGACACCCTTGTTACACGTACGTGCTGTTCTACCCTTAAAGAAGTACAGTCTGCTAATTGAAGTATGTCTAGCCAAAATTTTTATCATGTGATCTTTGCTCAAAGCTTGACTTTTCTGAGATGGTTGATGTTTCAAACTCTTATCAATTAAAATTGGCCTCAGAGAGTTTATATTTACAGATTCATGCTTTTTGGGACTCTCAACTTTGAAATTGTAGGATATAAAAAATTTATGTAGAAAGGACTTAGTGGGCTGTATACTTACTTTGTTAATTGCTAAAATTATTTCGTTTTCACAATAATCAAAGCCTTCTGCACAAGACAGTCAGCTGGGGTCTAAATCATTGTGGCTGTGGCTCCCAGTGAAGTATCCATACTAGTCATTGAGCGACAAGGGATGCTGTACTGCTGTAGAGCTAATTATCAACTCTGAGAGGTCTGCTTAGCAGACCTGTGTAGGGTGGGAGTCCTGTGACTCTTATTTTTCTGCCTGTTCCAGCAAAAGATCCAGCACTTGTCATAAACTAGCATCTGCAAGTCCCTCTTCTTGGACTTCTCTCAGATCTTGCATCTGGTTGCAATTCATGGCTACATGGCCCTGTTTGGCCTGGAGCTTCCCCGGCCACAGTGCAGCCCATCTGGCCTAGATGGTGCACGGTGTTTTGCGGGTCCGCATAGCGGTCTGAGTCCAGAAGACATTGGAAATACCCCGCAGTGGCTACATTCTGCTAGAGCAGCCAACATCTAACTCCTGCTATCCAAATCTGTCTCCTGAGAGAAACTTAAAACAGAATCTGCTGTTCTCATGGAGACTTTCAGCTGAGCATCCTGTGCAGTCAGTGGGAAGACTTACAACCTTGAAGAAGTATGTGGGTATGAGGTCTACTGAGGTCACACAGTTGTCAAAAGTCTCTCAATGGATTTTCCCACTGGAGCCGTCTGAGACCAGTTCCCTGTAAGCTGTTGGTGATTAATGTGCCCTAAATCAGGTTACAGAAAAACTACAGAACAACTGCTGTCACTATTCAAGCAGTAGCTGAAAAGGACGTGTAGAGCAAAAACATTTGTAGAACTAGTCTTCTGGAAAGTTTTCAACTCCCTCCCATAAGCTTATAACCCAGTGAACCTTGGGAAATATAACGAGTGAAAGATGGCACTTTGCACTCATTGCCACCATCTCCAGAGTATAATATTACGTCTTTTGGCTGTCAGAACTCAGCTGAGTTCTGACGTTGTGTCAACAATATCTACAGAGTGTGCTAAATTAGATTTTGATTCCATACTTCAGGGACGTTTAATTATCCAACAATCACTGACCTCTTGGGTGCTTGAATTCTGATGAGACTACAGTATAATTTGTTGGAGAACTAATCTCCATAAAAGGCATTAACGTAAGAGGAAAAAAAATCAGCTATCATGGAAAGGGTGGGTCCAAATGTATCTGTGAATTTCAGCAGTTCCCAGGACTCAATGTTTTATGGCTGGTTGTTCTAGAGAAAGAGCAAAACAACTCAAACTCAAAAAGTCAGCAGAACACATATTTTAGTTGTGTTGGACTTGATCAGCGAAATATCAGATGTTACTCTTTTCCAGAAAACCCTCATCAACAGTAAACCAGTACATCTATTTTAGCAATTGATTAACAACAGCATTGGTTTATATCCCATTTTTATAAGCATTATTTGAGATTTTTTCTGCTAGATCTGTGCAGCTATTTAATCTACTTCTTCATGCTGATGGACAGACATAGTAAGCAAGCAAGCCATAGTATCCAGAAGCCTCTTTGATGGCAGCTGAAAGGCACTTTAGCATTTGGATATCACTCTGCTCAGCAATTATGCGTATAATTTTGGGGCCCCTGTGTCTAACAATCAGAGCTTATTCTGCATGGTTTCCAGCTAGAGCTCCCCATCGCCATGAGAGACACGTCTGTGATTTCTGCAGTGTGGCCCAGCACCACACTGACGTCCACAAGGAACTAAACAACCACCCTAAGGTGGAGGAGACACAGTCGCCCATTTCTGAATATTTTCAGTGAGGCAGTTGTGGGAATATCTGCTTGCTTATTTCAACACAGGACTTTTGTCCAGCCAGGAAATGGAGCTGCTTATTCAAAGGACTGTTTTGGATCATCAAATAAATTGATCCAATACACTTCATGTTACAGTCACAGTATCAGTGAATCGACCCTTTATTCTAGTCTGTCTTACTACATGAAAAAATGAAGGAGGAAAATGAGTTTTTTTAATAAATGAACCATCTCCCATTTTAAGGCTTAAGAAATGTCAGGCATTTCTTAAATAAGGCTACAGGAGGGAAATAGCCCACAGAAAGCAGATGTGTTTGACCCATCAGGATGGTTACACAGCTAAGAAAGGCAATGGGCAATGCAGAGATAAATGCACCTGACCTAGCCTGCAGATGTCATTGGCTCATATGGAAAAATTGGTAGCAGAGGTATCCTCCCCAATGAGGTGGGACAGAGGATGAATAAATTATTTATCTTGAGTCTACCAGGGATTAAAGCCAGGGATCTGGCCTGACCCTACCTCCCTTTATTGGGATCTCTTTGCTTGCTCTGAGCCACGTCTGACAGTGCTTGCAGCACCAGATCCTGCTCCTTTGCCCTGCAGCCTGTCCCCCACATGCCTGGCTTCAGCCCCAGTCTTGCTTCCTCCTTGTCCCCAAAGCCGTGGTGTGACCTTGGCTCCTGGCCTTGTTGGAGGTGAGGAGAGATGAAACCCAGGCCACTCCAGTTTTCAAGAGCTGCCGTACCTGGGCAATCTGACTGCAGGACACAGATGAGTCCTGCTCCTCTTTGGGTTGCTGGATCCAATCCCAGGATCAGCGTTCCAACAATTGCCACGCACACAGAGCAGAGGAGGCAAATCACAGCCCGCTCCCGTCCCCACAAGCCGTCCAGCTGCAGGTCACTGCACTCACCACAGGCAGACCATGCTCAGAAGACAAGGTCCTGTTACAGCTACTAATAGCCAGTGCCATTCCCGCACCAAATACGCTACCATGGCCAGCAGCATGTTCCCGATGCTCCAGAAGATGCTAGTCAGGATCCCAGAGAAGGTGCGGTGCTGTATGTCCACCCACTCCATCCCTGGAAGAGGGAGCCAGAGTTCAGCTGGGACACACAGGACTTCTCTGAGAAGGGGTCTGCAGGGCTTTTTAACAAGGGCAAAGTGAGGTAACATCCCTGGTCGTCTCCTCCAGGAGAGTTCCACTGTTTGGCCAACATCTGGCACATTTAAAACGTTCATCCACAATGCTTAACCTCTTGCAAAGCTGTAAGCAACTAAAATAAAGCTTTAAAAGAAGAAACACTGGACATATAGTAAAAAACAGTGCTGAAAACACCTTAGATAATACTTCTTTTTTTATCCCATTCAATAGCATTCAAATGGTCGTCTTCATCAAACAGATAATTTTTTTTCCCTAACCATCTTGCCTGCACAGTTTCCCATTTCTCTGCCCACTCATTATTCCAGATGAAAGAAATATATTAAGATGAATTGTCGTTCATGTGGAGTCTACCCAACGTAGATACTAATGCACATGTAAAGCCAGAACAGATGGTGGTCTCCTTGTTTGTGTGTGTGAACTAAAAGCCAGTTTTCCTCCAAAGATCTGGACATCTTGCTACAACCCCTAACAATCTGAAATGTCCCTCCCAAGCTCTACTTTGCCTTGTAGGCACCAACCTTTATAACAATTAAAAAACATAGCAGGCCTTGGGATTTGTTAGGTCTTGTGTGGACTTTTCCAGTATTGAAGCCATTTTAGCTTGATTTTGGCTGTATCTGAAAAAATCCTGGAAATTTTTGCTGCACCTGTAACTTGCTCTTGGGTACAACATACACCCCAACTGTATTGACAAAATCATCCAGTGGTCTGTTGGTTACCCTGAAGTTTGGAGCTTGTTTTTATTATATAATTACCTAAACTCTTCAGCTGCAGTTTTGCCTAGCTCTGTATGATTTTTTGTTTTTTGTGTGTGTGTGGTTCTTTCCCCCTACTCTTTCTAAAAATATAGATTGGGAACTTACAAAACACTGTGAGCAAACTCAAGACTGGGGAGGTAGAAACACCCCGTGAATGACACACCATCCTCCTGCTGAGGACACAGCAACGCTGATGAATTGTGTTAACAACCATTTGAAGGGTGAGAACTCAAAATCAGAGGAAAGGGGAAGATACGTTGGTCTATGGCTTTTATTGTACTATTTATGATCCTTAACAGGAATTGGGTAGCATGGATTGCAAGCGTTAATGTTGCAACAGAAGTACTAATAAGTGGTTGTTATATTTTGAGTAGACTGTTAAAGCATTAATTAGACTAATAGAAAAGGGTAATTCTTGGATCCTCCCAAGAGGGATGTTCTTTTGGCTGACTGTAGTGAAATTGCACCCATAATGATTTCCAAACTCCTGTTACTACTAGCTATGCCATGTCTGCTAGACAAGTCCCTACCTACCCACTGCCTGTCAGAAGTCCCCCTGTACAGCCAGGCACCCACAAACCCCCACATGCTTACCCAAAGGCAATACAATAAGGGAGACGCCGCTCAGGGCCACCCCGGTGAGGGTCCGCGTGATGGCCAGCATGCTGTAGGAGACGGAGGCGGCGCTCAGCATCCCAAATACGACAGAGCACACAAGCGACAGCACAAGCATGGCTTTCCGTCCGAACCTGCCACAAGCACAGGCTGGGTTACAGTGGCTGGAAACCTGTCCCAGGAGTAGGGATTGAAATGAGGCAAACCAGAGACTTGAGAAGGAAAATGAGAATATTGCCCACTCTGCAAAGAGCACAAGATGCAATGCCCCAGAGAGGAAGAAACAACTCTGGATATAGCCAGTGCCACAGTGGTGCAATCCCATTCAGAGGGCCAGCCTGCCCCATGAGCATCGGGCATGAGGCTCTCCAATGGAAAGAGGAGCACTGAGCAAAACAATATGTTGGGCTCCCCTGTTCAACACCGTCATCAAAAGAGGTGATGTCAGCTTGAAATCCCATGCTGCTGGCACACCCTGCTCCCTCCAATGGCTGTCCCCATGCCTGGCTCAGCATGTCCTCCTCCCATGGCTCACTCAGGACCAGCCACTGCCACCGCTCTCAAGGAGGAGAGAGCCGTGACACTGTCACTCCAATCCTTGGAAGGAAAACAAAGATCCCAAAGGAAAATAAATGAATCCAGTTGTCAGCCCACATGTGCAAATAGCCCTGATGTCCTAAGGGGTCTGTGAGGAATCTGCTAGGAGGTCATTCCCCAAGGGTTTTGGAAGTTGTAGGACCATCTTACCCTGGTACAGAGTCCTGTGTGGAGAAATACAGGAAATCAAATACACACAAATGCACATGTATACACACACACACACACACACAGAGAAATATGTGTGTATGTATTTCTATACAGCCTATCAAAATCTAAAAATCAAAATGGAGCACAAGGCATCAGTCTTCTGATGAACATCAGCACTGCATGTGACGGAATCTTAACTTCAAACTGGAGTAGTAAATTAACGCTGTCAACAAGTAATGTTCAGTCTCTAGGGGCTGAAATCCTGGTCTGATTCTGGCATTAGGGCTCTCTTAGTGGCCACCTGAGAAGGATGGTGGCATGAACAATTGCTCCAGGGGAAACAGTGATGTGCCAGTACATAATGCTACAATAATGTTCCTAAAAATAATCATAAATGACTTAATGCAGCAGCTAGTTAATGAATCTACTGAAAAAAACCAACTTGTGGCTTGGGCTCAGGCAGTTTGCTGGATCTGCTTTGTAATTTAAGCACAGCCAGTTTGCAAAAGTCATCGTAATGCCCCTGGATCGGAGCAGCAAACACCCAGAAACACACCAGAGCTGGATCCGATTTCCAATAGGGTAACTGCTTAAGAAAGAAGATACTTTTTTTAAATGAAGGTTTTTCTTGAAAATACAGTCAGAAGGATATAAACCCATAAGATTCCCTGCAGGGTGCACGGCAGCTATTTATGGAGCCATTACTAGACTCTCTCAGCAAATGCATGCCACCTGCCAGGGAAACCAGAGGCGAGCTGGCAGGATTGAACTGCAGGCTACAGGGTGGCTGCTAGAAATAATGCTGTCAAAATTGTCTTCAAAGGGAGAGGTAGGAAAGCACAACCTCTGAAAGATTATAATAAAAGGAGCAAAATGCACAAGCATAAAAATTAATAAAAAAGCCATATTTAAAAATATCCCAATCTGGAAGTCTGCCATAGCATCATACAGCCAATTCAGTACAAGGACAAGGTACAAAAGGAGTGTTTGGAAAAGAGCAGACAATAACAGAAACAATATGTATGTATTTTTGCATATATATGTTAATAGTGAAGGTTGTTGGAGGGTTTACCAGGGTAAAATTTGTTAGTAGAAATGTTGTCGAATCCAAATGTCTGTAGAGGCTTAGAACAAAATGAACCTGAACTGTAGCAAAATGCCAGGACCAGATGGTTTTCACCCTGGAGCACTGGAGATGAAATCTCTGCATTACTGTTAGCACAAAGAAGTGGGACCTCTTCTCTGTGAGAGAAAAGGAAGGTTGCTAATGGGACATCAGCTTTTATGGGGTCTTAGGGGAGATGGGGGGCATGACACCTGAGGTTTAACAAATCTGCCAAATTTATTGCAAGTTTACTGGATGCACTGGCCCACTGCGATTTACATGGGCTGCAAACCTTTCCTGATGTGACCTGCGGGCCCTGTGGCCAGGTCGCTCAGGCGGGCAGTCCACGGTCAGCTCTGCTCCAGGCTGCTCACGGGGCCACAGCTGGCTGTCAAACTCTTGCTAAAGTTCTCAATTTAGCAGACTGAAGGGTCGTGGTCTGGCTAACTGGAAGTCAAGCCATAACTTGGTCTTTTTTGTTAGCTTCTCCAAATTTTCTCCATTTCTTCTGTATCCTTTTGAGATGGGGAAGGAGGGTGAAGGGAAATCAAAACTGCGCACAGTATTCAAGATCTGGGGCCACCATGCATTTACATGTTACTGGATAGTGATATGCTCTTTAATTTTATATTCCTTCCCTAATGATTCTTAATTTTCCATTTGCTTCCCCAGCCCCTACTCATTGCTGAGCAGATGTTTGCCTAGAGCTGTCTGTCATAACCCCAAAGTCTTGCTCCTGAGCAGCTACGGTCAGCTAAGAGGTCTCAGTTTTAAATGAGAAGTTAGAATTGTTTCTCTCTTTATTTTAATCGACCCTGAAATTTTGTCTTCTGATGCTCCCATCCAGTCACAGAGCTCTTTAAGCTCCTTCTGCAGTTCTCCACACTCAGATCTCATCACTACCGGCCTGATCGCTCGGCATCACCTCCCTACTCACTCCTTTTCCAGATAATTTCTAAATGTGCTGAAAAGCACACAAATCCAAGCACAGGTCCCCACAGGTCTCCCTCCATTGTCACAACTGAACACGTACATCTCCCCTCTCCTTCCTGGCCTTTATTAATTATTTAGTCATGCAGAGACCTTCCTTCTTATCCTAGGGCAGCTCAGTTTCTTTAGGAGCCTTTGGTAAGGAAACTTCTTGAAATCCATGTAGGTGGTATCTCCCCTGTTCACATGCCTTTTAGCACATTCAAAGAAATCCAGTGTATTTGTAAGGCATGAATCTTTTGCAAACATGCCTCGGATTCTTCACTAGTATGTCATACCCACCCATGCGGCCAGTGACTCAATCTTTTAGAATAGTTTCTACTCATTTGCCTGGTACAGATAAATGTCAGGCTGCCTGGAACATAATTCCTGAGGTCTTTTTTGGAAACCAGTTTAAAACTGATTTGATACATGATGCCTTCCCAGCCCTCTGCTGTGGAGGTCAGACAATGCCAACAGTGTTCCAGATTTTTCATCCCAAAGGTCCTGTAGGGCTCTAGGATGACGGCTCCCTGCTCCTAGCAGTTTACTGGCGCTCACCTGGTGTATTTTTCTATGCCTTCTTCTATCAGCTTATTTCAAAGCTCCAGCTCCAACACCTGCCCCGACACATTCTCCCACTGTGAGCACAAACTCATGTATGTCTCACACTACAGCCTTTTTATTTCCAGATCCTTCTTTTACGCCTTGATCTTGATCTACTGGCTCTTCCCCCTCACAATCCATCTGAAAACCAAATTATTTTTCATTTTCCTCTAGCAGAGATCTTCTCTTCTGCCTTATTTTGTCCTGCTCCTTTTTGTGATTCCGAATTTCTTTCCCTCCAGCTGTGCTATAAAAGCATTTTAGACACAAAGCCAACACACACAGTTTGAAGATCAGCCAGGTGTCTTGGATCCTTGTAAAAGTATACTGATATACTCATATGCAAAGATGTGGATGTAAAAATTCCCATATTCAGCACTAAGACTCTGGGTGCTTCATACCGTGAAGGTGGTTCCCCTCTGCTATGCAGTGATTTTGTTGCCTGCTGTACACTAATGCCTGTTTGCTCCCAGGGAAGGGAAATCAGGAAGCAGTTTCCTGTGCAGGAAACTCAGACATTAAATAATGAATAGCATACAGAGTATAGCACATCCTGATTGCATGCCTGCATTCTCTGGTAGGTTTCCTGGTTCTGCTGTTTGCAAAAATATTTAATTTCTTAATTGATGCCCTTTCTAGGTTATTACTCAGATTTTTTTCAGGTTTACATTATCACATTCTAACATTTAACCAGAGAGAGCAGATTTGTTCCTGTTTTCCTCATTGTCTCAGCTCTTCCTTGAGGAATGCCTCCCTGCTTCTAATAACGTCCTTTACCCTGCTCCTCTAATAATGACAGAGTCAGTTCTTGCTTTCTGGAGACTTTTTTTTTTCAGCTATGACATACATTTGCTCTGAGCCCCTCACTCGGGCATCCTTAACCAATTTCCATATAACTTGTAAGGAGTTAACTCTTTCAGCCTCTTGTTTTGGTTTTGTTTCAGCCAGCTTTCTCCTTTTTTAGACTGTTGTCTTTTCTGAAATTGGTCTCACAGACAGTGGATTTTTTCAGTTTTTACTGTTCCTGCAGTGATGCTGACCACAGCGTTGTGGTCATTGCTGCAGTGCATCATACTCCTAACCAAGGCTGGAGCCACTTTTCTGGTGGGCTGCTAACTGGCTGATCCATGGAGCATTTAGCCCCTGCATTGCTTCCCAGTATGGCTTTGATCCAATTTTCATGTGAGAGGCTGGATTCTCCCTTTATGATTGTGTTTTCTCCTTTCTCTGCCCCTCTGATTGCCTTTTGCAAGTCACAGGTTTGTGAAGTTCTTGTCATGAAACCGAAACCCTGGAGGAACAGCCTGAAAGGGGTCAAACCTGTCTGAAAGGTATCCGAATATCACGGCCCCCATCGTAACGCCAATGAAGAAGAAGGTTGCAGTCGCTTGGTTCAGTCCACGCTGCTCGCACACGAGGTCCCACTGAAACACGAGGCCAAAATGACACTTAGTGCCCAGTTGCCTTTTCACACCCCTTCCTTCCGGTGGTTAGCCGTCATGTCTTGCAATTTCTATTGGCTGAATCTGATTGAGGGGTAGAATCCTGCACTAAACTGCACATAGGACAGTGCCAGAGTCCTGAGAAAAGTAAAGCTGCCTCTTATAAAACTCAGAGGCCTCCCAGTTATCTATCCCCACTGTGACAGCCTCTCTGTGGACACTTGTTGGGCATCAGAAAGCTTTCCTGGGTACCACTCATCATGGAGAGATCCCCTTTTTCCTCTCCTGAGCCCCGCGATAGCTGCTCTCAGCCTGCTTGGGTGCATGTCTCCCCTAGCTCCTTCTGTCATGCTCCTGGGATTGCCCTGGTGAGATGGGTGTTTGCAGAGTGCTGCACTGCAGTGAGCTTAAGACGTGCCTCAACCTTTGTTAGGGAATATCGTGTTGATATCCAGTTACTGTTGCCCTGACCAGTTCCCTTTGAATTTTCCCATGCAGGAAGGAAGGAGGGCAGAGGGGGAGTCAGACCAAATATTTGCCCCTGATGCTAACTTACTGATTTCTTACTGAGAAGCTGGTCTAGACATTCTCCCTAATTAAGTTAATGAGCATCATTTTACTTTCTTGGAGGTGCAAATGTCTCGCTAATCATTACAGAATGCTGTGCCCAAGCTGCAGAGTTAATTTTCTGTATGTGCAAACTTGGCAAAACTTAATTTAATCATCAACCCAGCCTCGCAGCCTCTCTGACAAGGCCAGCCAGACCTTCAGCAACCTTTCTTGCTGCAAGAGCAAAAGACTCCAGAGAAAGCCCTGGCCCCTTGAACATGTTCTGAGGCCGCTGCACTGTGGGTGCAGCATCACGAGGCTCCATGCTCAGCATCTGTGCTGCAGAGAACCTCCCCTGCCTTTTCCCCCAAGAGTGCTTTACACCTTCCTCCCTGAAGCAATGCAGAAATAATGTACAGACCTGGTGCACATCTGACCCTCACCTCCATGCCTGCTAAAACCAGGGGTGGTTGGGTGGTGGGGAGGAGGCACCAGCTCTAGGTTAAGACTTAGCCCTGCTCTCACTGAGACAGTCAGCCGCTATCACTTCAAACCCAACCATGCCCCTTTTGTCTGATCAAATTTTCCCCTTCCCTAAGACCTCCTGTGCTTTGGGCCAACTTTCAAGGAAGGTAAAGCATTAACACCCAGTGGTATCACTGTTAGCCTTAGCAAAGCATTTCAGAAGGCAGGTAGTTAATGTTTGATGGGCAGGGACCTTGGGCAGGCTCAAGGTTACGGCTGGCCAGCATGCTGCATCTCAGCAGGAGGCCCCTGGAGAGCACATTTGGCTTGACAGCAAGAGACACTGGTGGTAAGAGAAGAGAGGCAGCATGATCTTGGGGAGAAGAGAGGGAAGCTGGAGATCAGTGAGGAGGGGTGGTGAAGGGAATAGAAATGACAAAGTGTTCAGAAAATCAAGAAAGCAAGTCATGGGCTCATATGAAATACTGATAGGGTGTAATCCTGTGCAAATGCCATGTGGCCCAAGCAGAGAAAATCCTATATGTGTATCTTCTCCCCACCCCCTCCAATCTCTCAATCACTTGGAGAAATTAAGATGCTTCTAACAAGAAGTGTTGGCTTCTAACTATCAATCTAAGCAAGATGCTCGTAATAATAATAATAATAATAAATGTTGGCTTCTAACTCTGAGCTTCAGAGAGCTTCCCCAGCCCAGAAAATCTCTAAACAAGTAATTTCCACTGGTTAAAATGCAAAGATTCCCCTCTGACTCTGTGCACCCAGTGAACACTTCTCCATCTGCTCCTCAAAACACTAGCTAATTTCATTTTTGGTTAGATCACAGGACAGGCATTACCTGGGTGGAGATGGTGGAGGTGAATTGCGAGTGGTCATAGACCCATCCATGCTGGCAGTGCTGGATGATGGAGTTGTTTTCTGGTTGCAGAGAGGAATTGAGCAGCAGGTGAAACTGAGGCTGCGAGAACATCTCACAGGACCTGAAAGTGCCGTCGGGCTCCTGGGGGATGCTGATGAGCAGAACTTCCTCCATGGTGAGGTTCACAAATGCCTCTTGGTGAGGAATTGCACAGTGATGAGAGGGGGTAGCAGCAAGAAAATTGTGCAGCAGGAAATGCATGGGAAGGTTGATTCTTGGGAGGCAGAGGATAAACAAAATCAAAATCTGGAATCTGCCAAAGCCACCAATTTCCAGCAAGAGATCCTCAAATTTCATCTTTTCTGTGGAGTTTGCTCATTCAGAGCCGCTACGTATCAAGGAGCAGCAACATGAGCTTGAAAAGCGGTCTCTGTCCTTGGAGCTCAACTTCCCATGGCTTTTCATACAGCCACTTCGTTGGACTTTGAGACCTTGCTGAAACGTTGTCAAAAGTCACAGTGAAACTCTCCATTTGGGGTACAGCCAACGAAATTATCCTGTGTGCACACAACACATCCATTTCAAGTGGGCCCAGCACAAGGTGCCTTCTCTTTTTAGAGTCCTTTTCTCCTGTTGTGGTATTTGAGAGGGAGATCCTCATTAGCAAAGGAGGCTGTGGGAAGAGTGCTGTGAAAGCACTGTCGTTTCTAGTGTGGGGGTACCATGCAGTGTCTCAGGCACTGCAACAAACTCTGTGTGTGGTCCAGTTGGATCATAAAACAGGCCCCCAGGAGAGCGGGGGTGACCCACTGTGTAGGGATGCCCAGGGGCACCAAAGCCTCGTTGCTGTGCATCAGCTAAGTGTTTTTTAGTATGGCTTGTGTCAAGTCATGACCTGGGAGCGTGAGAGGGTGCCCGGAAGAGAGATGAGTCTCTGGATGGATGCAAACAGAGAAGGGAGCACTCTGGGGAGAAAGGGTGGGCTGCAGGTGAGGGCTACCTGCTCACCAGTGTCCTCCAAATGATGGAAAAAGTGAAAATGTTTCCCCACAAAGTCCCTTTCTCCACCTGGGAGAGTGCTTTCCCAGGACACATGCAAGGAAGTGATGAGAGCTGCAGTGCTGGCACGCAGAGAGGCTGCGCCTGTCATGTGAGGGGCCATGACATACTCCTGTAAGGTCACAGCCACATGCTGGTGTGCTCTGGGGACCTATGTGACAGCCAAAGGAGTGAGTGTGCAGCCCCTGACAGGGCCACAGGTACTGCTGCCACCACTGCATGGGCCTTGCACCATGGCTCTTCCACTGCCTGCCTCAGGGAGTGGTTTCCTGGAAGAGGTGGGTCTTTAATGTGAACTTCCACTCTTCTTATGCTCTTAACCAAGAAAATGAGCTCTTTATTCAAGTGGAGCCACTGCAGAACAACAATGGATGGTGCATCTGAGAGGCTGAAAGGTGGCTGGTCATCAAAGGTGTGTAACACACAGCTGTGTATCACACAGCTGCAGGGCAAAAGCTTTGCCCCCAGGGTGGCAGGGAGCAGAAAAAATGCTGAAGTTTTGGAAGAGTTATAGAAACAATGCCTAGAAAATGCAGCCATTGGGGAGATGTGGCATTGGTTCACACATTGGTTCACAGCTTGGTTCACACAGCCAACACGGTTCAAAGAAGAGTCCCTAGTCCATGAGCCAGGAACAAAGAAATCCAGCAGAAGTGGCAGCTCCAGGTACCACAGGTCTGCCAGAATTGCCAGGAGGTGTACAACCTCTTCCATGGCTGGCAGACACCTGGCTGGAGGATGACTGGCACTTCAAGACAAGATAGACACAACTCCCTGCCCCACAGCTGAGCAAGCTTAGGAAAAGGGATGAGATTAGGGCAGTTAAACTGGAAGCAGTGGGAGAAGGGGCTCTACCCTGACTCAGTCTGGAGATCCTTCAGGACCCTTTCCTGCAAGTCCCTTAACACCCTCGCAATATCTGGGTACAAGGCATGGGCATGCTCCCCTTGCAGCAAGTGCTCTGGACAGGCTGGACCCACGGGGCAGCCCCTGGGGATAACGCATCCCAGACGGTCACATCCCAACAGGTTCAGGGAGAATGGCATCATGCAGCAAGCAGGGGCAGCACCCTGTTGCCCGTTCAAAGGCTACAACCCCTTTGCAGGGTGCACGTGAAGCAGCACAGTTACTGACAGCTTGTCAGGTTGACAGGTTGTCTCCTGCTGCGTGTTCACACCCTGTACCTCTCTCCTCACAGTGTGCGCCCTCCCTCCTCCACCAAGCCTGCAGCCTTGAGCGTTTGTGGATGCTAATGTGTCATCCTGAAGCTTTCTCCAAGCTGTTGTCCTGGGACATGCTCTGCTTTAAAGCAGCTCTAGTTTGGCCATCCACCTAGAAAGTGGTGACATTTCGTGTTGGGATGCAGGCGCATCAGGAGGCTGGGCACAGCTGAAGTGCAAGTGCTGCCCGCTGCCAGGCACTGCCGAGAGCTGCCTGTCTGCACTGTCCTGGCCAGTGACTGCCTGCCCCAGTTCCTGTGGCAGAAGGCTTGCGAGAAAGGGCTGTAGAGCAGCAGGTAGAGATGAGAAGGTCCAAAAAAGCTTTTTGTAGGGCCTCCTGCTGTGGCTGAATGCCCAGACTGAGTGTTGCCCAGATATTAAATGCTGCAAGGGCGCAAAACACACTGGGCAGGGTAACACCACGGGCTCACGCTTACAAGGCAAAGGACGCCGTGCTGTGACCTGAGGAGATCTTTGCTCTTTTCAGCAGCATTCCTGGTCACCCATGTTTAACTAATGCACTGACCCAGTCTTTGCTACGAACCATTTCAGTGCTCATCCTGGGGCGAGCATGAAGGAAGCATACAGGAGTGAAGCAGGGACATCTGACAACACTGTGCCTCCAGGGTTGCAGTTTAAGCTGAAGTTGAACTAAAGGACAAATTGTTTTTCTTCACCACTGGTCTTCTAAGAGCAAGGAACAGAAACTCTCATTGATATGCTGTTGCATATTTAAACTGCAAAGCAGCTCCAGCCTCCCCATCAGAAATGAGGTTACGGGTCACTGTTCTGCAAATCCTGCGGCTCTGCTGTTCATACTGCAATTGCTTAAAATGTACATCAGTTGATTGCTGTATTTCTGTAACCCAAACGTACTCATTTAACCAGTCACCAGATCTAGTTAATGACCACCATGTGTGCAAACACTGTGACTGACTATGCCCCACCACTTGGTTAATTAGACCCAGGACCTGACTCAAACAGCTTGGACTTGCCTGGCAGTGGTGAGAGTTTCGGGTAGACGTGGCACTCTGGGACATGGTTTAGTGGACATGGTGGTGTTGGGTTGATGGGCTGATGATCTTAGAGATCCTTTCCAACCTTCATGACTCCTAGTTTTTACTTTCATTAAAAAATAATCCAGCCACCAAACCAGGAAGCATGAAATTATTACTCTACTCTTAACTGGTTTAGTGGTGGACTTGGTAGTGTTAGGTTAATGGTTAGACTGGATGATCTTAAAGGTCTTTTCCAACCTAAACGATTCTATGATTCTGTGAGAGTGGGTGGACTCCTCCGCTGTTGCTTTCATGTATAAAGCTGTAAAGAAAAGTTTACTTTTTACTTCACACGTGTACAATTTTCTTCTGTAATCTTTCTTCTCCTTTGTCGGGATGCCAACTACTCATCGAGAGGGAAGATTATTAAATGACTCAGTCACTAATGTGCTGGCTTTTCTGTTTCAAGCAGTAATCTCATAACACCTTGGGCAGAGCTGTAACAAGCTGGACGGTGAAGGTAGTGAGGGAGTTAATTTGCTCCTTTAGCAATTAGAGCCACCCCATGGGTATCTCAACTGCTGCATAGTAGCTGGAGATCTGATCGGTTGTTGCAGGTTTGTGCTTAAATTGTATTTTCCTCTTGTGGGAAAGCTGCAGATCCTGAAATTCTCCCTCCCCTCTGAATTATGCCTGACTGCCATGAAAATACATGTCTGTCAGAGCCAATGAGCTAGACTAACCTTGCTCTCAGAGGGCAGAGGTGTCCCCATCTAACTGCAGCTCATCGCAGGCTGGGATACCTGCAGGAGGGAGATGTGCCACATGCAGGGAGTCTCTGTTTTTTCTATTATATGCAAAGGGTGTTTGGACAGTGGGGTCCTACAAAGTTGGCCAAAGTCAGCTGAGGATGCCTGCAGTATCTATCTAAGGTGTACCGTACTGCAGTGGTGTGTCCAAATGCCCTTGGCAGGACATGTATACACCAGATTTTGTAGCTCAGTTGGAGAAACTGGAGGAGCAGCCAACAAAGAAGTCCTGGGGCTCCTTTGTTTGGTATTAGAAGAAAGTGACTTTATGCCATTCTGACTTGGTGCCACATTAACAAGACTCCTATACTTTCCATTACTTGCAGTTGTCTTGTGTGCAGCCATTTTACTTGGTTACACAAACAACCAACAACTATTTTGTAAGTAAACTGGTTCTGGCCAAAGCTTCTTTTCTTGCCTATCAGAAATGCAAACATAGATCCTGCTTTAATGTGAAACAACGTAAGCCACTTCCACGTCTTGCCACGTGTGATCATGGGTCCACAGCCAGCGCTTGCATCCTGTCTGCTCCCTAACCAGCCCCCACAGACCTGTCTCGTGCCTCTTCCTATGGTCATCTTACGGAACTATTTTCATTACTTTTTCATCTCACCAGTGCTGTTGGGAAACTGTAGCAGGGCAGAGATACAGCCTAAATTATTAGGCTGCATTTTACTGAGGGAAGGGCAAACCCAAACTACTCCTTCAGCCAGGGCAGGAAAGACACAGAAGGAATGGGGCAGGAATGGGAAGTCCAGGCAGGACCAAATTTTTTCTGGGGTGAGATACCATCTGATTACATCACTGTCACTTGCAGAGGATAATCCTGTGTGAAGGAAAACGTTGCCAGGGAGCTCAAGACACACACCCACTGGTTCAGGGAGCAGGACGAGGAGGGGATGAGCCAGGAGCTGGGGGGACTCCAGCACTGTCCATGCCCTCCCCAACAGGGCACAGTCCCACGGGGTCTCAGTATGGCTGGCAGAGCCGGGGTGGGACAGGGTCCATCAACAGCCCCAGACACAGCGAGGGGATGAACCAGGACCAGGGTCCCTCCAGGGAGCCCGGTCTGGGGCAGGAGATGGGATAGGAGACAAGGCTACAAGGCAGGTCCAAGGTCCATGCAGCAGCCAGGGCAAGAGACAGGGACACATCTACTGCAGCTCAGACAGCAATGGGAGACCCAGGCCTGAGCTTAAATGAGGTCCTGGGCCATAAGCAGAAGGTGCATGAGTGGCAGGTGCAGGGTAGTTAACACCCATTAGTGCCCTTGAGGCCCTGACATGCTGTATCTCAAATGGAGTGCCAGGGTTTTACATCAAAAAGTCATGCAATGCTGCCTGGGGAGCTTG